AAAGTTATTAGAAACCCGACTATTACATGTCAAACAGCGAGCGTTATTGCAAAAATCCATTTGCAACCATCTAATTCTCTCTCTTTTATTAAGATATTATGCCACTACTAACAGCATACATGCAGTGGGGCCAGCAGCTATTACACTGGAGGACTGTGTCTATCTAAAGCTTTTTTTCGCAACACGAACGCTATCTCCGACGAACCGCCATGCAATACTTAAGTACTTCCAATTCGCACAGTTCTTTACAGCTAGTGATTAAAGCAGCAAATCGATCGCAGCGGAAGTACCTTTTGAAACGAGGGTCTCGAAATTATGTCGTATAGCGCTGGCAACAATGCACTGAGTAAATCAAAATGATTAATACGGTGTAATCTGATGCATTTGAACGATTTGTGAGTAATTAGATATCTTGTTTCTGAAAAACACGCATCTTGCTCTCTTCTAATTTGTCAGATCATCTTAATAGATTGTGCTATAAAAAGCAAGTACATGTACCTTCACTAGCGCATATTCTCTTTACGTGTATTTCCCCCCCTGTTTGCCTGAATTTGAGGTGTTTTGGGTACAAACCACGTCACGCATATTTTTTTGTAAAATAACATCAAACCCGTACATACAGTAAATCGTTGGGCTTCATTGCCAAATGTGCTTATTAGATTCATTTACCAAAATTAGCTTAAATGCCTTCTTCTTAACATTACTTCAATACCATCATATTGCACACGCGGACAGAATATAAGGAAAAACTTACCATCTGTGCTCACAACTCTCGTTCTCGCGAGATCGCTTTTATTCCCCACGAGGATGATAGCGCATTGCTCGCCCTCCGTCTGGCGTAATCGTTGAAGGATCTCAGAGACGTATTGGAATGAACACTTATCGGCTATAGCGTAGACGACAATGTAGGCGTCCACGTCTTTATCGCGGCACTGAAATACAAAAAATAATATTGATGAAAATAAAAAAAGGAAAAATATGAAATAGTTTGTCAATTATACATAATTTGCATTTGCAGCTGGTGACAATAAGTAAAATACGCTAGGGAATCTGGGATAATAACTAAAGGGGAGTATATGTTTTGCTTCGTTTCGCTGGGCAATATAACATTTTTATATGGGGCACAAGTCTGGAAAATGGCTTGGGTTTTTTTTTTTAATTTTCGATTATGTCTTTGGAGGAGAGAAATGTGCTGGAAGCTTGGGATGAGAAGGAGAGGCGAGAGGTCGTACGTAACCGCCCCCTGGACCCGCCATCGTAACAAGCAGGATATCCGTGATGTGCATTTCCTCAGTTTGCTCACCAGATAAGAACGAAAAACAGAGTTTCATAATTTAGTTCGATAGCTCTGGCTAGGCTTTGACAGAAGAGGGACATGGTCTGGCATTTCCACAGATTTACTGCGCTGATTTGGTCGGTTACCAGGAGAAATATCCTAATCCCTATACCATAGTATGTTTTTTTCTTCAAGGGTCGTTTTCACACAAAAAGCCTTTAGAGAGAAAGTTGGCTTCAACTTTGGGACCACTGATTTTGATCTACTTATATTCTAGATAAATCCGTAGTACTTTACTAAGATAAGTAACTACTGGACCAAAACATTTGGCATTTATTTGTGTTAATAAGACACCCTCAACAGGCCATTTAAAAGGGTAACTACAGAATTTTCTTTTGTCATAGTAGGCTACAATTTGGGTCTTAAAGTATCGACCAACTCCTGTAGGTAAGTGTTTGTGCATTATTTTTCTAGCTTACTGACAAGCATGCAATGTACTTTAATTTTCCTGTGGGTTGCAACACTTATTCCCACAAACATACAGAATCTGTCCAAGAATTACAATCCATGAACCCGGTTTTAGTTCCTAGTGTCCAATTTTTAGCCACCCTAGTAATGGAGACGGGGACTGGTGAATTTCACTGTCGCTGGTAAAAATTAGCCATTTCAAAACTCGAAAAAAACTTTTTATGCATTGTTCTTCTCATAAATACCTTGTTGTAAAAGGAGACTTGTGGAAACTTCTAGGAAATTTAATGTGTTGGTCCATATGGGTGTAACGGGCATTGTTTACCTTTAACTAAACACAAGCCAGTATAACTCACTGGGCCAGAAAGTCATGTGGACTAATTGTTCACACTAATGAAGTTCACAGTATTTTGTGTTGCTCTTCATTTCTCTAATGTATATTTAATGCCTACATTGTCACTATTCAGGTACACATACTGTAATGGATTTCTACGATATCTTTTTTTACAGAACATGATTTTTTCCTGCAAAAGGTGCAATACACAGCCTGAATGTTACATTGTAGGACACGCATTATGTAATACCAAAATGTTTCAGAGAGAGAGAGAGAGAGAGAGAGAGAGAGAGAGAGAGAGAGAAGGAGACCATTACCTCTTCAAGCGTGGATGTCACGAACTGCATTTCTGTTTCCCGTCCGTCCAAAAGTACTGAAACGGATAGGTCTGAAGTTTTGTTCCCTAAAATACAAAATAAACATAAAACTTGCGTTATTCATCAATTCATAAACTTTATTATATCTCGTTTGTGTCAATAATTACCTGCTTTTTTTTAGATTGAATTGAGTGTTATTCAAAACCTCACTGCACCCACCACATGCCCAGGTTTAAATAAATGTCGCCTATGTACACGTATAAATCACGATTATTGTACACCAGGGCACATATGCTGATGTAGATTTCCGATACAAAACGATGCTTTTCCGTCATCTTATTTGCGAAATAGTCTGCATATTTCCCAAAGGTGTCGCCACTAAATTTTCTTTTAGCAGCTTCGAGTTATCGTATTATTACACGCAGTGCTCTGTTCATACGGGCATTACCCAATAGTCACAACAAATCCCAGTGAGACCCGTGTAAATCTAGTGTGGCCCACATAGAATAAAGTGCTAGTAGAATAGTGAATAAAAGAGACGACAGACGTAATGATATTAACAGTTCCTTCATATTCCTAAGATTTAGTCCCAAGTTAGTCCCAATACACATTGGCGGAAGTACTTTAAGTACATTCACCGTTCTTTCTGTTTTGTGGAACTTAATTATATGTTTTGCATTGCTAATTTTTAAGGTATGGTCAATTACTATGCTTTTTGATGAGAATGGTACGCATTTGACCACAATCAGTTTCAACACATTTATCTATCCTGAAATTCTGGATATTTATACTAATGAATGCATCTGGACATTCTGGCGATTTTAATACCAATTTTAAAATACCAATGTGTGCACTACTAGCGATACACATCAGTTTACGAACCCGGGCATCATGGTCGTTTACACCAATTTATCTATCTGAACATTCGCGCTATTGTAATGCCCGCATGCAACAACGCACCTTTTGAAATGTTAAATAGGACTTCACTTTTGACTGATTTTCCTTAAATAGTTTAAAACTGCTCATGATATATCAGTGTAGTTAATTTTTAACTACTTAAAAGACTCATATCACTCAATCTGTACATTAACCACCTGTCTTTACAACGGTTTGTACATGTTGAATTAAGTGACGCATGGGTCTTCTAAGGAGTTTCTATCTGTTCTATCAGACCACTATCGGTTTCAGTTCCTGGTTTTCTCTAAAAACACACACAAGCACTTCTCCGTGTATTATGAATGTTTAACAATAATATTCCAATTTCGACAGAGTCTCTGGCAAGGACGTGTTATGGATGCCCCGATATTCAGAAATAGAAATTTCTGGAAACTTACATGTTCATCTAATATCAGTATACCTCTGTTCATGTGACCGCTGAAACCCAGAGCGTGACTGGAAACGGCATGTAGATGGTTGTCTTCAATTCCCATTTATCCCATTTATCTCTGAGGCACGGGACAGGGGTGGAACAACAAGAGGGCGCTTCAGAGAAGCAGCTTTAGTTAAATAATTTCTCATTGGTCAAAAGAAATAATTTGAAGAGTAGCCGTGATGTTTAAAAAATAGGAGCTGAGAATCCTGTGTGGGTCCGCTGTGGGTCCCTGTTGAGTATGTCTGTGGGAACCGCTATGTCAGTATTAGTGGGACACCCCAAAATGGGTTGTAGCCTGTTAGTGCTTGGACCTTAATCGTGTTTATATGAGAAGTGCTTGCATGCGATCCTAGGTACGAAGCAGTTAGTACCCCAAGTCCAATGGGGTTAGGGGCATAAGACTATCATCAGGAGCCTAAAAATCATTAACAATTCAGCTTCGGGTCTAAGTTTCTTTATGGAACTGGCACCAGTAGTAATAGGCAATTCTGAGACTTAGAAAAACAACGCGTTGTAATGCAGGATGTTTTACTGCATAATGCACAGTATGCTTCGAATTTATGTCAAACTGTCTCTTCATTATGTGCATGCGTGTGTAGGTTACAACATCAACGTATTAAGTGTAGATACATGTAAGTCATCTATAACTCTATATGTTTAAATATTCATTTGTCTTGTACACGCAATTTGAAGGTATCAATGTGCAGAGTTAATAGACAAAGATAAAAGGCACCGTTGTTACACTGGGATTAATAGCATGTAACCTATGGGTACGTACCTTAATAAATTTGACAAAAGAAAAGTTAATTAAAACGCACAAGTAGACAATCTTGTATGTAGTGCTTACGGTTAAGACCGTAATTGAAGGTTTATGGGAATGGTAATGAAATATATATGTTTACAACCAAAAGATCATTAACACTCGGTGGTTCAACCCCGACTCATATATTTGACCATATTACGTGTGTGGCTTGACGCAAAGAGGTGCTATAGGGGCAGTTTATTGCTTAAACTTCAGCATTGCGGATCAGTACATTCCCAATGTGCAACAAGTCTGGAAATCAAATGCACAGTGTCTGGACAGAGAAGAAACTTGTTTCACCAACGGTTTGGTCCATACTCTGTCTTTTGGGTCAAAGCATTATTACGTATGGCATGATATAAAGGACGGAAACTCATACAGGGATTAAACCCTTTACGCCCAACGTAGGCCTACATGATCACCTCTATGTAGCTAACACATTAGAGCGTCTACAAAAATATAAAAAGCACTGTGTTCCCACTTAATCTAAAACATACATTCTGTAAACTAGCGCCAACAGTAGTCATACGATATTAACCTTTTGGTAGAAGGTCGAGGTGATTTACAACATATCCCGCACCTCCAACGTAACAGGAGGCCTATAGCGTGAAATTTAACGGCAACCTTTCCCCCTCTAGCCTATAACATTTTAAAACTTATAGGAAATAAATAAGAAGTTGAAAGAGAGCAGCCATTTACACGAAAAATCAGCTAACTACTTCTGTCCTGCAGCTGAGGCCATACCTATGATTTGCCTTGTCAAAAAAACCTGGAATGCCAAAAGTGGTAACATGTGGTAAGCTGTACGTTCATCTGCTCTCAAGGTCAAACCCTGTTGAAATATTTGGCGTGGAATAAGTCGAGTCTTTTATCAAACTGATCTAACGAAGTTTGATATGCACAAGAGATCACAATGAATGTGACTCTCGTCGAATAAAACCATCAGCGCGATGATGTAGTTGCCCAAAGGTTCAGTGAAAGCTCACCGCTCATCGCCCGACGTGCGGCGTAAACGCAGCTTATGTATTTTTTTGTTATCTCAGTGGGTAGGCCTATATTTCGATTTAATCAAACCCCATAAATGGGTATCTGAACAGCATGCACCAATGGGGAACATGCATCTAAAAATTTTCGATTAATTTTTCGCTGTTTATGGAAAGCGGTACAGCGGTTGTATAAATGCATAGGGTTTCTATGTGCTTCGGGAACATTTTAGCGGTTTCCATGCAACTCGGATATTTAAAAGATGTCCTTTCCGATTTGAAATATAAAGCGGAATGACGCTTCAAAGACGTATTCTACTGTGGTTGAAATGTAAAAAGTACGGAAAGAGATATTTTTGTCTGATTGCTTATCAACGTTAACACTGTGGCTGTACCTAATGATTCAAGTTACACTTCTGGCAACATGCGCGATTTTAAAATATTAACAACCCTTACGATGCATTTCTGTGATCGTGACTATAAAGACAAATGTATTGCACGTATATAATATTACAGAATATTTTATCAGTGAATGTGACCTACATTACTTGTATTTATATTGTCATAATTTTGTCTTGTTTATGTCTGTCTGTTTTGCTTAATGCCTACTTGTCTCTCTGTGCTGGTATGTCTAGCTGTCCGTTTTACTGTCCACCCACATCAGGACCCGTCTATTTATTTTACTGACCAGTAAAATGTAACCTATTCGTAAACGAACTAAACTTTTAGGTTTCTGGAAAATAGTAAAGTACGTCTACTTGTCTGTTTGATCTGTCATCTTGTTGACATGGACGCTTGCGAATGTGTATACCAATTATTTTGATTGCTTGCTAATCATCAGTACTATATGACGTACTAATAGGAAAATAACTTGGACTATCAAGGAATCCGATCAACCAGCAGCTTATAAACTAAGCTTCTTTCGAATGATTCACAAATTGGTAGAATTATCTGAGCACCCATTTGCGGTATCGCTACTCTTACACAGCAACACACACTAGCTAATTTTAGGAAATAATGACAAAAGAGAAGCAATTGACAGTCGCACTGTTGTAAATTAATCCCAAAACTTCGTGATGTGGTACACGTATTTACGTCATGACGGATCCAGAGACATTGGCTCCGTCTCGTGGCTTTTCTCTTTCATCAAAAGCAATGCCGAAAACTCTTTGAACGAATCTCTATAAAATAATTCTGACTGACGCAAACCATGTCATTCCTTCCTCTCGAGTTTCAAACATTAAAGCAAATTTCACTGAGTCTCTGCACGAACTATTCCAGGACATTGTTCTTTATACGTCATATATTTCGTGCCACTTGTTAATTTAAAGTGTGCATGAATATTACTCAGGTTGATTGACTAATTTCACTCCTAATTTAAGGGGGTAGACAAAGGTAAACGAAGCACCTGATGCAAATTGTAATTATCCAAAAACCCAAATAGCTTTAAGGACGAGGGAGGGAGGGAGGGGGAGGGTGATGGGAGATGGGAGAGCGGCTTACGCGTACCCCTGTGCCTTTGTTTATGTGCGTCTGAGTGTGTATCTGTTTATGTGTGTGTGTGTGTGTGTGTGTGTGTGTGTGTGTGATTGAGTGACTGTGTGGGGGTAGGTGGCAAACAATGCGATCTGAGGAACAAACGTTAAGCAATAGCTTTGGAATAAGACTCGCCTTAGCTTGAAAATATGGTGGATGTTATGTTTGTCGATAGAACAAAATTACTGACGTCAAATCTATAATCCGCCATTACACCATGGGTCCCATTACAGTAAGTAATCTAAACGTTTTAAGAGATGGAGACACTGATGTTTTGATAAGACTGCCGAAAGCCACGTTATCATTAGTACATGTACCACCAGAGAGGCGTTTGGTTCAGCGTATAAGGCAATGTATTTTGGGACAGAGCTTTATCCTGCCATATGCAATCTT